GGATAAAAACAAAATGAAAGGATAAAAACAAAGTGAATGGATAAAAACAAAGAATCAATCTAATAGAAGTAGCAAATGACCAAGGCGAGTTTCTTCTTGATAAAAACGTTTCAAGGTTTAACTCAACCAGATTCACAACAAACATAAAATTCGATACGAGAAAAAAATGGAAATGAAATTAATGAAAGCGAATTACAAATGCTTGATTATCATTTGTTTTGTAAATATAATCGTTAATATGATAAAAATTCAAATGATTAACAATGCAATTTTGCTTATGAAAAGTGATTTTTTCATAAATAGATAATTTGTCCTGATTTCTTTCTTCCAACCAAATATTTCCTCTAAGGAAAAGTTGTTTGGAATCCGGTTGAATCAAAAACTCCTTACCTTCGATCCAAACTTTAGGTTTGAATCCTGGAGCCTTCAATCTTCTAATAACGTTTTTACCAAGAAGAAAATCACCTTGATCATTCGCAACTTCTAGATTCAAGTTGATTGATTCTTGTTCAGTAATAAATGTTTTTTTTATCCACTTTTTTTTGTCGATGATTTGTTGGGATAGCACCAAAGTTTGACGCATCGACATTCGATTGGACAATGTCTTAGCTGGGGATACCCAACAATTCATCACACGACCGTATTTTTTCGATGTCTGATGACATCGTTCGAATCTCATCGAATTCGACAAAAACAGAGGGCCGAATTTTAAAATATTATCTGCATAATGCAACAATTTGTGGAGTTTATATGTTACACTGAGTTTGGATGAATTATCCTTAACGATTGACACATATGAATCAATGATGGATCTACTCAAACTTTTCATTCGATCAAGATCTAAACGATCAAATTCTAATTGGCCTGTCAATCGTATAAACTCAATAGTGTCTCTATACAATTGTTTTTCTCGACCAGTTAAGAATGTGTTGAATTCATCGAAAAACACGCATGCTAGTCGCATGAATGCTTCACCACGCTGTTTGATTTTGAATTGGAAATTAGAGATAGTGTTTAATAAATGGAAAAAAACTCACCAGCATTCCGGTGCCATATAACTTTATTTGATCATTTTTTTCAAAATCAATAGACACTTTTCCATGATAGAATGGAAATTCTTCTAATTTTGTTTTGACGATGATTTTTGATAAATTTTTTTCATCATTATCTATCATCGGAAAGATTAATAGATTTATAATTTGTTTGATGCAGCCCTCTGAAATAAAAAATAATTTAATTAAGTCTAATTGAATAATAGAGAATTACCAAATAAATCATGAAAATAATCTGGGGGCATGATATTGTACCGAGTAATACCGTCCAGTCGTGTCAAAACACAAGGTTTAGGTTCTCTAAAGTCATATTTATGACAAAATAAATCAATATCACTACCAGATGAATTGATGATTGAATGCGACCTTATGTTTGCATAATTTTCAAATTTTTGAAAACAATCTCTACATTGACTGCTTTTTCCAAAAGACAAAGGAAGTCCCAAAACTTCGTGTTGAGCAAGATTGTCACAAATTACGCTTGAAAGCGTTACATAAATCTTCTCATTATAACCATCGAAATTCAATCCATTAATCTCTAATTTTTTCATTTCATCAACAAATGGATTTAATATTTTATTCATCACATCTGTAGTTGGTTCAACAGGCCTTTTAGCTAATAAAAACATAAATATTTGGCCACGTTGGGTTCTTTCGATAAACGGAAGATTTGATATTGTCATGTATCCAGCTAAGAATTTTCTCCCGGTTATGCCCATAAATGAAAAATCGTCCAATGCAATCTCAATTCTTAATTTAGCTTTTAATCTTTGGAATAATTTATAGTCCGTAGTATCTAATTCATTTTTAATGAGAAAATGATTTCTTTGAGGTTCAGGAATGAACATTCGATCTTTTTCTTTCAATATTTCGGCAATCAAAAATGGATGTTGAGCAATAACATTTTTTATAATTTTTGTTATCGAAAAATACTGGATTTTTAAGTTTGGTATTATTATCGTAATAGGTTTGATGTGATTTTTTTGTTGGAAAAGAAATTGTTTTTGAAGGTAGCTACTACTACAGTATTTTTCCATTATATTTTGGACGATTAATTTTTTTTTCCGTGCCATTATAAAATATTTGGCTACAATAGTTCCATAAGCAACAGCATGTTTATCGGCTATCGATTTATTCACCTTAGTTCTGATGATTTCCGATATAAAATCATCAATTAATTTTTTTTCCTCTAGATTGAGACGAAGATTGAATTTTAAAAATTAAACCTTAATCATTATAAAAAAAATTACCAGGTGGTAACACTTCAACATTTTTAGCATAAAATGAACTTGTAATTTGTTCTTCTTCATCATTAAATGAATTCGAAAACAACTCTTCAATAGCTTTTAAATCTTCTTCATTTTCATCAGACGAAATATGAAAATCCGTTTCATCAAAAATTGTATCTGAATGGTCATCATTATCATTAAATCGACAAGAAAAATCCATAATTGATGTGTTAGAATCAACCGAATCAGAACAACATGGTTGTTCATTTGATGATCTAGCATAGGAATGTTCTTGATTGACATCAAATTGACAAGAAAAATCGATTATTGATGCATTTGAATCAACCAATTCAGAACAACATAGTGGTTGATCTATTTCATGATTGTCGGTGGATGATAAATCATTTTGTTCATCGATAATTAAAGAATTAGTTATAGATTGTTGAATATTCGATGCTTGTTGCGATGATTTATGTAGCCAATATTGTTCACTTATAAAAAGATAATCATGTCAATATTTTGTATTAAAATTTATCAATTTTTTATTTACCGTCTTTCCTTGAAATAAGTAGGATGAATATTCTTTATATGTCTATGCATTGAAAATGCGGTGGATAATAGAGTACTACAATCTCCCAGTGGACATTTTTGCTTTGGAAATTTCCTGTCCGCTTCTTCGTTTGATCTTGGTTCGCCGCGGCTGATCAAGTTTTGATTGTATCTTCTTTTTTCACGGAAATTTTCCAAAAAAATCTGGAATGGAGTTCCTATTAACTCTTCGTAACGTAAATATTCGGGTTGCTGAATTGAATCCATTTTAATTCTAATGATTACACAAAATTTCCAAATAATAATAATAACTTTTAATTGATCTATACGTAACTTCGTATTTCGTATTGACACGTCTTGATAGAATTTTTTTAAAAATTTAAAATTGTAACGATGTCTATGATGAGAATAACTCAACCCAATAAATATATTTAGCTATAGCTATATTTGCGGAATAACAATCATTTGAAATATTTGAATCATTTCATTCGGGTATGCATTGTTTTGAAATTCTAATTTAGATAATGAAAGCTAAATTTTCATTACAGAGAAATCCACCACTTAATTTTGAATCGAGTTCAATTTAATAAATTTCAACCGATGATGAACAAGAATACCATAGCAAATACGAAATTTAATACTCAAGTTAATGACGAGGTATCTCATGAGGAATCTGCTGTTTGGCAGCAAAAGTCTCAAAAAGCTTGGGAACTGTTTACTGAAATTCGTGATCAAGAAGTATCTCCAACAACGAAACATATTTTTGATGTATTTGTAATAATACGTGAATTGAAACATGAAGCGGAACAAAGTATGAATGTTCAAGCTTCTGCCAAAAGAACTTTCGAAGATTGTTTATCAATTGAAAATACTTTGGTCGAATTCTTGAAAAATGTCATTTATTCAGAAGATTCAATTGAATGTCTAGATCAACCGACTACAACAATCGAACCAGTAATCAATGAGACAACAATCGAACCAATAATCAATGAGGATCGACGAGATCCGGGACCATCAAGCGAAGATAATTGCTTATTTTGTAATGGGTTTCATACATCCTATGCATGCAATATGAATAATTTGGATAAAATCATCATATTGTCGAACGAAGACCGTTGCTATAAATGCTTTAATCAGGGTCATTTTTGCTCCGAATGCGACAAAGAAAGTTGCATTAAATGTGGAGGTGACCATGACAAAAATATTTGCCAATTAGATATTTAGATTTGAAGCCATTCTCATTTTTTAAAAATAAGTTTATCAAAAAAAAGAAAAAAAATTATTTTGAAATCATAATTTTTAAAAAAAATTACAACTAAAGCCATCTATTGGAAGCATTTGACTTTAGCTGCTCATTTCCTTTTTCCGATGTTTATTTACTCATGAATTTTTTTATTTTCATTTTTTTCGATCGTAATTTGTTTTTTGTATTTAATTCTCTTAAATTTGGTTAAATCATGTATCCCGTGAATAAAGTAAGTTCAATTTCATTACTAAAATTGAAATTTTAATTTGAATAAATTCTTTTACAGGATTGTCATGTTGAATATTATTCGCACGAAACAAACCATTTCAACGTTGATAAGTTTAAAATTGACGAATTATCATCATTACAATCCATTAGATTTGATATTAGAAATGAATCAATCGATAAATTCCAATTTGATGTTCGAATGATAACCAATGAAATCCATTCAATGTTAGTAGGAGAAGCAAAACTATTTCCAAAGTTTTTGCCTGAGTCGATCATTAAAGACATAATCAAAAAAATTAGCAACATAGATGACAATTTCCGTAAAAGATTTGCCATCCACCAGACAAATCTGGAAAAAATGGCATCGCCAAAATCAAAATCAAAAACTTTTGATGTAAGTAAAGACCTTAGTATGACAGTGTAACAATTTTTTCATTTTTACAGCAATTTGTTTTAAAAAAGTTTCGAAATTTAAACAACAATTTCAAGAACAAAATCAAACGAAAAAACAAATGTCAAAAATGTTCCTGCATTCAAGGATGTCAATGTCAATGCCATTCTATGTCTAATCATATTAATGAACAACATAATCTTAATATTATTGATGATAATGATAATGATATTGATGAAATCAATATAATTGATCTAACTAATACTAATTCTACTAATGATTAATCCATCCAAAAATCGATCAGTTAATCGATAAAATTAATGATGAATGATCCTATATTTCAAATAATAATAATGATGATGATAATGTTAAACATATCAGTAGATGTTTTTTGTTTCAAAAAATTGAAAAGTCCAACAAATGATCGATTGCGCATAGTCAAATGGCTAGCTATTTCCAATACTAATACTTTGTTAGTAAAATGGTATTTGCGCTTCAAAATTTTTTTCGATATAACTATTTTCTATACTTCTCTCTCGTTCGTTATCAAAATTCAAGGTCAAAAGTTAGAATAAAGTCTTTCATATCAGTATACCACTGCTTAAATTTTTTGTGGTCTGATTTTTCTCAGTCCAATTTCGAACGTTCGAATTTCATCATCGTCGTTCGATTTCCATGCTTTTTCATCCGATGTTTTATTTGGTCGATGTAATTTTTTTTTTTTTGGTTCAAGATCATCTAAATAATCATAATTTTTTCAATAAAAAATGGACAGCAATTTCAAAAACAAATTCCCGAATTTAATGGTAATGCCATGATAATCGTGATTTGACAATCATATCGATAACGATGAAATATCATATCAATATAATGCGAATAAACCATTTGAACATTTGATACTTGTGTTAGTTTTGACATTCGAACGAAAACTTGATGAATAAATAAATCGTTTGGAACTTTTTCTCTTCTAAATCCAAATTGGATTTTTTCAAGGTGAGTAAATACCTAAGTATGGTAGTGTTGAAATTTTTTCTTAATAGTGTTAAAAAACGGTAAATAACATGGCGAATAAATTAAATGATTGTACTTGTCCATTTCTTCCGAAGTAAGTGAAAACCTTAGTATTACAATAAAACTATTTTTTTAGTTTTCAATTATCTTTGCTTTTATTTGATTCAGATTAAAAATTGGTAATTTAACAGACAATTTAGCTTCGATTATTTAAATATTATATTGAATCTTGAAAGGTATAATCATTCATCAACAAATCATCAATTATTGATGAACAAATCGATTTATCATCAACCGACAATCATGAAATAGATCAGCCACAATATTGTTCTGATTTGGTTGATTCAAATGCATCAATAATCGATTTTTTCTTGTCGATGATAATGATGACCATTTTGAAACTGATTTTCATATTTTGTTTGGTAAAAATGAAGATGATTTAAAAGCTATTGATAAATTTTTTCCAGTTCATTTTATGCTAGAAATATTGAAGGTAAGTCAAGAATAATGATCAAGATTTAATTTTTAAAATTCACAATAATAATACCAAACTTAAAAATCCAGTATTTTTCGATAACAAAAATTATAAACAATGTTATTGCTCAACATCCATTTTTGATTGACGAAATATTGAAAAATCGAGTGTTCTTCCTAGGCAACAACGAAATCATTTTCAAAATAAAAACGAATTAGATACTACGGACAAAAAAAATTATTAGATTGATCGGCGATTTTTCATTCAAAATTTTTTGCAGGATATATGACTTTATCATTAAACATAGCCAAATGTTTATGTTTTTATTAGCTCAAAGAGACCTGTTGAACCAATTACAGATGTGATGGATTAAACAAAAACTAAGGTGAGAATTTTTATTTGACTTTGATGATAATTGATGTTTCGATATCTATTCCTCTATGAATGCAATCGATCTTAATATTGGTTGGTTTCAATCTAGTGATGGTCCAATAAACAGCTTAAGATTGCTGAAATTATGAAATCTTGGAATTACTACAACTAATTTTTCGGTAATTCTCCATTATTTGTTTAGACTTAACTAAATTATTTTTTATGTATATTCTAGGGTGTAATCATTTGCCCATTGAACAAGAAAAAATTCAAAAAAAAATCAAGGATTGATTTCGATATCAATACATTGAATTCCATCAATGAAACGGAACCAGAATGCTCGTGAGTTTTATTTTCATTTATTAAACACGATTTCTAATTCCCAATTCAAATCCAAACAGCGCTATTTATTTTGATGGTATTTTATGATGAATTGAAAATTTTGGTTTATGAAGATAAGCTAGAATTTATTGGTTTGGCTATCAGTTTGTAATTCAGTTTTTGCTGATTTTTCATATTTTTGGTAATTGGTATTCTCTATCATTCAATTAAACTTAGCTAAATTATTTTTTATTTCAGAAGTATCGATATTACAATTTGGTTCTGTTGATCGACAAAGTTCAGAATCAATTGATAAATTTCAACACGATATCAGAATGATAACAAATGAAGTCTATTCCATTTTAGTAGGAGAAGAAAAACTTTTTTCAAAGTATTTACCTGAGTCGATCATTAAAGAAATGAATAAAAAAATTAGCAACATAGATGACAATTTCCGTAAAAGATTTTCCATCCACCAGAAAAATCGGGAACCGTTCCGAATAAATTTTTCCCAATTATCCTGAAAATGACAAAAGATTTTCTGTTTTATAGTGGGAAATTGGCGATTGATTTTGCTTTAGATTGATTGACCCTAAACTATGGTAAGAATTTTGATTTGACTTAGTTGATGATAATCAATGTTTCAATATCTATTCCTCTTTGAATGCAATCGATATTAAGATTGATCGGTCTCAATCTTTATTTCAAATTGTGATGGTNAATTTCCGTAAAAGATTTTCCATCCACCAGAAAAATCGGGAACCGTTCCGAATAAATTTTTCCCAATTATCCTGAAAATGACAAAAGATTTTCTGTTTTATAGTGGGAAATTGGCGATTGATTTTGCTTTAGATTGATTGACCCTAAACTATGGTAAGAATTTTGATTTGACTTAGTTGATGATAATCAATGTTTCAATATCTATTCCTCTTTGAATGCAATCGATATTAAGATTGATCGGTCTCAATCTTTATTTCAAATTGTGATGGTTCAGTAAAAAGTTTAAGGAAGCTGATATTATACGCCTTATGAAATATTAGAATTATTACAACTAATTTTTCGGTAATTCTTCATTATTTTTTTTTACTTGGCTAAATTATTTTTTATTTTAGAAGAATAAGTATTCATGGTAATTTGGTCGTTAGTTTGTTTTTCGATAAATTCAATCTGTAACGGTATGTATTTTTTCTTAAACTTCGACTTTAATGAATGATGACAACTAATTCTTGGTTATTTTTACAGATAATAGCTTATATTGAAATTCAATCATTGGTTTTATGGTTCATCCGACTGAAATCCAATTGGAGTTGACCGATGATATAACTATGAATTCATTTTTCCTCACCATTGGTCGCGAAAATCCAATCACCTATAAGCTAAATTAACGAATGTGATTGAAATAAATTCGTTAATTTAGCTTTTGAACCATCCATTTTGTAATTGAACTACCGACCGATCAAAATGAAATGATTATCAATATTTAATCAATTGATTGTAATTAACCATTTTATTTTAATATATTAATGAAAATT